CAGAGCAGAGATTCCCCTGCAGCCCATGGTGAAGACCATGGTGAGGCAGGCTGTCCCCCTGCAGTCCATGGAGGTCCAATGTGGAGCAGATATGCACCTGTAGCCCGTGGAGGACTCCACGCCGGAGTGGGTGGATGCCCGAAGGGAGGAGGCTGTGACCCCACGGGAAGCCTGCCCCAGATCAGGTTCCTGGCAAGACTTTGTGGACCCGTGGGGGAGGAGCCCATGCCAAGGCAGGTTTGCTGGCAGAACTTGTGACCCCCACGGGGGACCCACGCTGGAACAGTCTGCCCCTGAGGGACTGCACCCCGTGGGAGGGATGGACCCAAGCTGGAGCAGTTTGTGAAGAACTGTAGCCTGTGGGAAGGACTCATGTTGGAGAAGTTTGTGGAGGACTGTCTGCTGTGAGAGGGACCCCACATTGGAGCAGGGGAAGGGTGCTCTCCCGAGGAAGAAGCAGCGGCAGAGACCCCAAGCCCTATTCCCATCCCCCTGCACCGCTGGGGGTGGGGGGGGGAAGTAGGTAGAGAAACTGGGAGTGAAGTTGAGCCCAGGAAGAAAGGAGGGGTGGGGGGAAGGTGTTTTAAGAATCAGCAGTTTTTATCCTCTCCTTCTCTGATTTTGATTTATAAGAAATTAAATTAATTTTATCAAGTTGAGTCTGTTTTGCCTGTGATGGTAACTGACAAATGATCTCTCCCTGTCCATATCTCGACCCATGAGCCCTTTGATTGACTTTTCTCTCCCCTGTCCGGTTAAAGAGGGGAGTGACAGAGCGGCTTTGGTGGGCCCCTGGCATCCAGCCAGGGTCAAACCACCACATCCCAGAAGTGAAAGCTGCCACTACCATCATGTACCTGAGGATTCACCCGGTGATGTACCTGGTCCACAATGGAAGATTCCCAGCAATTTATATTCCAGTGTTACTTGTGAACATATAAGCAAAAAGACTTCAGGGGCTGGAGACAATGAAGATTTCAACATCTGTCTATCAGCTTTTCATAGAATCATAGAATCACTTTGGTTGGAAAAGACCTTTGAGATCGAGTCCAACCTTTAACCTAACCCTGACATCCCACCACTAAACCATGTCCCTAAGCACCTCATCTATCCTTCTTTTAAATACCTCCAGGGAGGAGGACTCTACCACCTCCCTGGGCAGCCCATTCCAGAGCCTAAAAATTTTTTATAAAGTGCTTTTCCTTGTGTTTATAAAAGATTTCTATTTATTTTCCAACAATTTTTTTTTCTCCTGATGTATAAATATGCCCAGCAGGGCAGGAAGCTAGCATCCCCGGGGGCAGGCAGGCAGCCCAACTCCCTTCCTCGCCTTCACAACCTCCTGTGAAAGCCAGTCCTGCCCTGTTGAGCCAGCTGGGTTTGTAGTTCCCCACCTTCACCCAGCCCCTGAATTTGCTTCTAACTGCTTCCTGCTGCGTCCTGTGGAGCAGACTAACTTCAGGCCTTGCAAGAGTGCTGCGCAGGAGCCAATGGATTGGAAGAGGAAAGGGAAGAGGAGAGGAATTCCTCCTTTACGCTTCAAATTCAAACTCAAAGTTTGAAAGTCTCTACCATTTTCCTTACCTGGGAAGGAAAAAAAGAGGCAGAAAAGCAGGCCTCGGGGAAGAGTTTGAGAATGGGACCTCATGGAAGTTCAAATCACACAGTGGAAGGCAATAGCATCTTGTCTGAGTCTGAACTAAATGTATCGTAGTGAGCCCATGTTCCTGGAGTACAAAAACATCTGGATTAGTGCTTGAAGGCTAGAGGTGGAGTTTAACTATAGTAAATCACAAAGGCAGGGGTTATGATGAACACAGAACTGCTGTTCCCCAAATCAGGAACAGGTTGCCCAGAGAGGTGGTAGATGCCCCATCCCTGGAAACATTCAAGGTCAGGTTGCGACAAGGCTCTGAGCAACCCAATCTAGTTGAATATGTCCCTGCTCACTGCAGGGGGTGTTGGGCTAGATGACCTCTAAAGGGCTCTTCCAACCTAAACTATTCTATGATTCCATGAAATCCAGCAGCACTAGGAAGAGGAAATAGTAGTGGATCAGATTAAAACAGACAAAAATAAGCACTTTTTTAAATACACTTTTGAAACTGGCTGCCACAGGAGGTTACAGAGGTGGACAATACCAGCAGATTCAAACCAATAGTAAATGAACCATTGGACTGCATTTGCTCGCCATGCTATTTCCTACATCAGCACTATGACCATGGATAGATCTCCTGGAGAGAAATAAGCCACTAAGAAGCTGCTGGTGCAAAGATTCTCCAGAATCGGCTGTTATAGCCGAGACACCTCCAGTACACCACAGCTACATGCAGCAAACTGCAGCTGCCCTGCCTGCCCTTCACCTGCTGTTTGTAAACACCTCCCTCCACGAGGTGATGTAAGCCTTCTAACAGCAAATCTGAGACAGATGATTGCGAGACATTTTTATTACCTGTGTCACAGGGCTGGCTCTAAAGCAAGTCTCTTTTGCAAAAGGTCCAATTTGCCATTGAAAGTCATACGCAGCTCCATTCTCAGTAATGGAAAAAGTTAACACCAGGAGACACTGTTGTACTTAAGTCTGCCTGTACTTGCATCACGGCCCATTAATATCCTGGCTTATTAGGAATTGAAGCCAAAGCTTTCCATTAGCTCCAAGCATTTCAGTCTTCAAGAACCTAAACTCTGTATATATGGAACAGGAAGACCAAAGAGTAATAGGAACATCAAACTGCAGGGGAAAAAAAAAATAGGCCATGACTCTTTTCTCCATATCACAGAAAATGAACAATCTCTCACCTTATGCCCAAGACAGGTCAGGTAGGGGCTAGACTTGGACTTATTAAGCAAACTTAACCTTGGGCTCAGTATGGTGGAAGTACAGGCAAGAAAAAACACGACAGACTGTACTCATGCCTAGATAACGCTCCATGTTTGCTTAATGGGCTTGCTTGGGTCCAGAAGCAGGACAACCACATCTGCATGATACAACGTTCAAAGCCCTGGTAGGCTCCAGGCAGAAACAGTTTCCATCTCTCTTCACCAGATCCTGATCCCAGTTACTAACACATCCAGGACATGAACTGCCTTCGCATTCAAACATCTTCACATAGACAGATTTCCCCCTTATTTGCTCCCCTTCCTTCCAAAATATCTCAGATAAAAACCCTGGCTTCCATATTTCACACAATACCTAGGGAAAAAAAGGAAAAAAGTAAGTAATCAGTAATGCAAGTTGTTGCTGAAGCCGAGTACTTAAATTTAAAATGGGATTATGTTTATCTGTTCCAGAGTAAAGGCATTCTAGAGAAATTCTTCAGCAATCTGTCCCATCTCCTGAGTGCAAGGAGAGGCCTGGAAGCTAAGCAACTGGTGGGGTAAGTTATGTTAACAGTACTGTAGTGTTTTTGTGAAATACTGGAGCACTTCTGGAAAGCAGGAATTGCAAGGTAGGTTCAGCATCCTTCAGTCTAACATTAAGATACCATGCTTCTACGTGAATAAACAGGCAGAAGGCATCTAAGCATTAGTAAGAAGAGACAACAACCCAGATACAAATGTCTACCGTGCACAAGATTGTTGCAGCATCAGACATTAAAAGTTTAAGCTAAATCAGCATTCAGATAGCTTGCCTCTATTATTTTACAGCATAATATTTGGAGTTCAGATAAAGCAACCAAAAATCTTTATGAAAGAGAAGAAGTAGCGTATGCTAGGCACAACCAAGATTTCTTAAAAAAAAAAATCAGGGGTTTCAACTTGTTCTATAAAGACAGAAAAGGGACAGGGAAGGAAAGAAAAGTGAGAAAGGGTACAAGAAATGGTTTCAAATTAAAGCCATTGAAAGTTACAAAACCAAAGGTGAGTCACCACAGGACCGAGAGGCACCAGGAGTTCTACAAAACGCATGCTAAGTGCCACTGGAGAAGTTAAAAAACATTTCTTGAGCGCTTACAAGGAGGGGGGGGTGGGGGAGGTGGGGAAGACTTCCGTAAGAGTCCTCAAAACAAAGAGCATCTGCTGTCATCTCATAAATCCAAAGGCTTCCTTTGATATTAAAAATAATTTGACACTATCCATCTCCTGCATCTAACGCCAAATATTTCAATATTAGATATCCTGATAAAGTGCATAGAACATCTTTAGATTTTCAAAATAAACACCCTGTCTAGGGAAACGGGACCGCACAGTTTTGACAATGCCTACTCAGGTACAGTCTTGGTGGACCAAAGAAATGTTAATATGGACACAAGAACTGACAGCTAGCTAAGTAACGGTGATTGTGATCTGATAATTATTCTGTGAAAACACTATGCCACTAAGCCAGTGTTATTTGTACTTGAAATTTTAAAAGGGTCAGTTTCCTCAAATGTAATAACTGCAAGTGACTGGAGAAAAAGAAACATTTAAAATGAGAAGTGTAAGCTAGGAATTATCATTTAATGACATCCCAAATTAATATCCAAAAAAAAAGAAAGCACAATATAAAGAAGAAAGGTGAAGAAAAAAAACAGTAAGGGTCAATAGCTACAAGAAAAACACACATAACTTAAGAGAAGCTCAGTGAATCAATGAAGTATCAACTGACAGTCGCATTAAGGACAGAAAGATTTCAGACTTGTATAAACACATACTCAATCACGAGCAGATCCATCACTGGATACTGCTGGTGAAAATAAAAGCAGCAATGCAAAAATGCAGAAATATTCCACAGACCCTTTTGATCTGTACCTGGAACAAAACAAGGACTGCATTTAATCTTGTATAATAGTAAGGAAGGAACAAAAATGTTGATGTCTTTAACTGAGGAAACTCTGGGGCAGCACTTCCCACAATTAGACATTTTTCAATCAAACACCCGACGTTTCACATAGTCGTCTTAAGCCAGTCAAAGAGTAACTTGCCTTTGATCTGTGACACAATAATGCACTAGTAAATTTGGGACTCAATCAACAGCTTTAGCAACCAGTATCATCGATGCTAGGCACACAGCTTCAGAACAAGGGAGTCAGGCTAACAAACTTGCTGCCCCAAGTACATTACAAAGTTACCTTCACTAACACAGTGCATTTGAAATTATCCCCAAGAAGTTTGCTCAGTAAAACACAGCACCTTAACGAAAAAAAACCCAAACACTGCAAGAAGCTATTAGGGGCACAGTTTAAACAGATTGAAACTCATACAGCAGCAGATCTTCAAATGCATCGAACAGGAAAACATGAATAAGCATGTTAAAATCTTGCATCATACCTCAAAACCAATTCCTCATGCACCACTGTATAATAATTTAATCAATTATTTGGATAATTAAGTGACTTTGTCCATAAAATTTACAAAGAATATGGAACTCAGTGCTTCAATGCTTCTATAGACAATGAAGTCTTTCAGTTGCCGTTAGGCATTTTGCTACAGGCTTAATGTAAAGAGCTCCTGGCAGAAATTGTACAGCCTCTGCGTACCAGCATTCAAATTAACTTTTCTGGTCTTTTATTATGGATTCAAGAAATCCATAGCTCTAACAGCCACTGTCCAGTTTCATCAGAACTACTGATCTCATGCCCCAGTCAATCCAAAAAGCACAAACCAGAAGATCCTTCACAGGCACCGGACTACTCCACAACTTTCTGCAGCTTCCCCTTGAAGTTCTGCTGCAGTCTTGGTAGCCCAGACCAAAATGAACCAGTAGGATATGCTGCTTTTCTCTTCAGAATGGCTTTGAACTGTACCCTCCACCAGATGCTTAGATACAAATCATGATACAAAACTGAAGACAACCTTTTTTCTCAGCTTGGATCCAGGAAAACAAGAACAGGAGAGTTAATATTGCCTTGCTTACTGCTCCTTTTTTCATATTCTTTTCCTCCTCTTTTCTCCTTAAGAGACTATGGGAACAGAGCAAATATTAAGAACCTGAGACCTACTATCAGCAAAATCAATCATTTCCTAACCGGAACTAGCAACCTCCTTTCCACCTAGCCCTTTGGTGAACTCACCTGTACTGCTCATATCCGAATAAACACAAGGGACCAGTGAACTGCATAGCTAGACCTCTATATCAGTTTGGAGTACTGCTGCTTGAGAAGTTTTTCCCAAAATGCCCCAGCACCTGTATGCTGCATGAATAACACAATCCCAGGTAGCACAACATAATGTGCATGACGTCTTTCCCTCCCCCACGCTCCTTAAGAAATACCATGGCTCTATGTCTTGTTATGGGGCTGACCCAAGCCATGTACCTAGCAGCTAATTCCAGCTCAGCAAACCATACCCCTGGGTAACTCAGGTCAACTCTGTTTCTTCATCCCTGAACACACAGTGGACACGCTCCTCTGCATTGTAATACACCTGCCCACAGCGCAGACGTGGCTCTTCCTGCTGGTACCAGAGCTGTTCATTGAACTCTGGGAAGAAGAAGGCAATTTCTCTGCTGGCTGATGCTGGTGAATCTGTTAGAAAACAGAGGAAAATATGAGAGATGCCAGTCTGGCACTGCAAATATGTTCTATGTTCCCAGCAGAAGGGCAGAAGCCATGAAGAAAAGCACCAGGCTCAGTCACACCAGGATAGGTGTGACTGCTTGCTGCATGAGCAAACAAATTATTAACTTTGAATCCCAGAACGGAAAGCAAGCAAATGCAGACAAAATACCATCATTCACGCCTCCCCGAGCTCCAGTCTTTGCCCAACACTCAGCCAAGAAGGACAGGTCTACCTGAGCCATGAGTAGTATTCCTGGTGTCAGTGAGGCCATAAGCTCCTCGGATGGAGTCTGGGACGCTGTTGCGGGCTTGGAATACTTTGGTGGGCCCCATAAGGGATCTCCAGAAGGGGACAGCATTCTCATGGGCCAAGATATAAGCCCACATGGGGCCACTGAGAAAAGGACCGGGGAAGAGCATTAGTAGGTAAGGTTACAAAAGGTAACAGCTCCATCATTCTTATAAATACAGCAAGTGCAAAGAAGCAAGGAAGTGCAACTGCCATGCAGGGCTTTCTGAGAGGGAATACAGACCTAGACACTGAGACCACGGCTTAGAAGCAAAGCATTTGCATAAATGACCTCCTCCTAGGCGATGACACCCACAAGCTTTGGGGATGCCACGCCACCAAGTGCTCCTGTTCTCACAGCAGAGCTAGTTCCTGACATTTCTCCACCCCTGAGCCCAGGGCCTTCCCCCTCAGTACACCACAAGCACCACCTCCTGGTGAGAGGCATCCCATGCCGAGGTGGACCCCTCCAGATGCAGAAGCATTTCTCAGCCAAGACAAGGGTCCACCTGCAACGCGAAGCGAGCTTCCTCCTCATACCCCAGGCAGCTCTGCTGCGGACACGGCAGGTACCTGGCCATGAACTCCA